AGTTAGCCATGCCCTGACTTAGATCAGCCCAGAGAGTTGTTTCAGGGTTCGATCTGTGAGTTAGCCGTGCCCTGACTTAGATCAGCCCAGAGGTTATTTCAGGGTTCAATCTGTGAGTTAGCCATGCCCTGACTTAGATCAGCCCAGAGAGTTGTTACAGGGTTCGATCTGTGAGTTAGCCGTGCCCTGACTTAGATCAGACCAGAGGTTGTTTCAGGGTTCAATCTGTGAGTTAGCCATGCCCTGACTTAGATCAGCCCAGAGATTGTTTCAGGGTTCTATCTGTGAGTTAGCCATGCCCTGACTTAGATCAGCCCAGAGATTGTTTCAGGGTTCTATCTGTGAGTTAGCCATGTCCTGACTTAGATCAGCCCAGAGATTGTTTCAGGGTTCTATCTGTGAGTTAGCCATGCCCTGACATAGATCAGCCCAGAGGTTATTTCAGGGTTCTATCTGTGAGTTAGCCATGCCCTGACATAGAGCAGCCCAGAGATTGTTTCGGGGTTCGATCTGTGATGTAGCCATGCCCTGACTTAGATCAGCCCAGAGGTTATTTAAGAGTATCGAGTAAATTGAAAGTTTTGCCACTCTTATTTTTTCGTTATTCTGAATGTGACCATTTTCTTTATTTTTTAGATGCTATTGAAGGCTTTCGACTTGTGCACCAAAGCCTATGGTACCAAGCACATGTTGGTTCTTCGTTTGTATTTGAACATTGGAATCTTGTACGAGGATAATGAAAACTATGAGAAAGCTTACGATTATTTTGTCAATTGGAACAAAGTTTGTATGGAGGTATGTCCTAGAGAGAAAGAGTATTTAAAACACACAGCAATAGATGTACAAGACTCGATATTTATCTGTGGTTATATTGGCTGTATGTCACAAAATGACCTCGTGTGTTTAAATCCATGTTTGAATTAATCATGAATTCAAAACATTCTCCGTACTCCTGATCAACAGAGCACGGCAAAAATAAATTCGTTCATTTGTCTTCAAGTGGTATATACAACACAGGGAAACCATACTATCATTACATTCATCTTCTAAACATGTTGTGTTCAACCTTAGCTAAGAAAAAAAATACAAATATTTTTGTATGTTAACTTGCGCTAGATGTTGGAAGCAATCATGATTGCACAACTGTTCATTCTTTAATTTACGGGACAGATTTCATGCTGTAAATACATCAGTCGCCACGACTGTCAGGGGTGGAATTAATCTCTGTATCTGAGATGAAGACATTGCGCTAATTTTCATGTTCTGAACGCTGCTGTATTTTTGCGCTCAATAATTTGGATCAGATGTACACATGCAGTAACAAAAGCCACCCTTGGTATTCGCACGCAAAATTGCGACATATGTACAAGTCCTAACCAGCTTCGTGCTAAGCGTTGTTCTTTGATTTTCATCTTTTTTTTCTTCAGGTTCTTGGCCCTGCTCACCCTAAAACCAAGCGATCAACAGATACTCTGGAGGAGGCTATGTACAAGCGTATCCGAGAAAGGAGAGAAAGACAAGCAGCTGGAACTGCTTAAAGCCATTCTCCCATTAGCTATACAAAAAACATATTCGTATATTCTAATCGATATTCACGATTATTCACATAATTTAATCCAATGTGCATCACAGGAAGGTGGATTTAGGCCCTGACAAACGCGCATTAACATTTAATTTGACTCACCCAATGGCCAACATCTGTGGAACTGAGAATGTCGGCACGTTGTTGTGTCGTGTAAGCCCAGTATGATAAACAGCCCAACATTTGACCTTATAGTCAACATTTGTGAAACTGAGAATGTTGGCACGTTGTTGTGTCGTATAAACCCAGTTTGATAAACAGCCCAACATTTGACCTTATAGTCAGCATTTGTGAGACTGAGAATGTTGGCACGAGCCTAACATTTGACCCAACATTTGCAATACTTTCATGGAAACGTGTACAAAACATGTAATACGCATGTCTAGTGCCCAAAATGTTGGCCGAGTGTTGGTGAATTAACCATGTCGAACGAAGCAAACATTTTTGAAACGATAGAAATGTTTGTGTGATGCTGGGAAAATGTTTTCAAATTCAAACTTCTCCCATCATTTTTGGTGAAGTACTTTGAACGATGCCAGCATTTTTAGAACGACAGATTCTGAAATGTTGGTGTGATGTTAGGCAAAGGTTTTTTTTTCAACATCAAACGTTTCCTAATATTGTTGGCAGGCCATGACAAACTGCCCCGGCAACATTTGACCCAACAAAATGATCTTTGGTCCAATCTTGGGCTCATTTATCAGGGTCTTAAGATGTTTGAAATTAAAAAATAAGCAAGCATAATAAGATAAATGGATGTCCAAATACCAAATATAATTGAAAATCAAAACAAACAAAAAAACAAACAAAAAATATCGAAATCGAAATCTAACAAGGGTGGCCAATAGTACCTTATGTTATACCAGATCTAATTTTCTTTAAGCCGGCACATTCGTTTCTTTATTTATTTCCGCCTTTGTTTCTCACAAATTTTCTTATTTAGCATTTGTTATTTTGATAATAAATGAATAAAATGCAATGTTATGTTCTCCGTGTTTCGGAACCAGCTGTAAAGTTCTTCCTTCTTCAAAGGATCATATAATATTGATTTCTTTCAAAAGTTATTTGCTATGGAAAAATGATTTCTGGATTTTTACTTTTTGATTTAATTAAACCAAGGACCATACTTCCAGACATCGAGTGCTGAACCGTCGTATGGCAGCGCGAAGCATTTACGGCTACGCCGGAGATTTCGACCCCGACACCGCTATCCGGAGATTTACAGACTGATCAGGAAGCTAGGCCGAAGCCTAAGGGAGAGGTTAGTTGGCCCCTAGACCGTAGATGATGTTTGATCATGAAGCTGATGGCTTTGAACGCATACTCATTACGTTCCATGTGGGATGCGCTTTGAAAAACTTAACTCATATTTTTATCTAGGGGTCAAAAATAATGAGTTATTTATAGCAGAATACTTTCAAATTTAAGGAGAAGTTGTTTTGTTTGACGGATTTCACTAGACATCATTCCCCGACTTGTGCAGACTTTTGCGCATCAACTGGATAATCTAAATAACAATAAAAATTATGAAAAATAGTTAATAATATCTATATCAAAAGAAAAGCACAAACCCGCAAAGCATCATGGTCAAAGGAATATGGTGGTCCATAAGGGACATACAGCAAATTTGACAGGTTGCTGCAAATATAACAAAAACGAGGGGAGTTGCTTTAAAGAAAAAATCGAGTTGCTGCAAATAAGAAACAAGTTTCTTCAAGTGAAATGAGTTGCTTCTTATTGATCATGACCTCACCTCTAGCTTCGGATTGGGAGTCTATAGTAGTAGCTGGGCTTCCTTTTGAATTCCTAGCCGCGTGGTCATGGGTTCACATGAATTCAATATGGCGGACACAGTGATGAAGATGAACTGTTACTGAAGAAGACGAAACTCTCCAAAATCACCTGAAAATATAAAATAACAAGAAAAACATGGTTAATCTAAGTAATATCTTAAGTGCTCGTGGACCACATCTGATTTATGGAGTCAAAAGAGGAAAAGTTCCGACCAAACTCAGACCAACAGTAGTTGCGACAAAAACCATCACCAAAAGTAAGACAAGATACAGAATTTGAATGAGTTATATCTCAAATTGTACTGCTTTTTATTGTCTATTTATCCCTTCAGTATAGTACTCTGTTGATATGTACTTGTTAGTTCAAGGAATAGCTTTTTCATGATAACGAAAACAATATAATTTTTTATTATTTTTGAACAATCTGTGTTCTAAGCATTAGCTTAACTGACTAAACTCCCTATCCCCCTACCCCTTTAACCCTGAATTTAATCTCCAAAACTAGAACTCGTATGTACTGTCTGTTTGTACCTATGCTATACCTGTTGTTAAATATTTCAAGGAGCCAATAGGAAAGGGGGGGGGGGGGGGGGGGGGGGGGGGGGGGTTGGATACTTCCCAGAACCCACTAGGTTGACCAAAAAATTCAATAGGATAACCTTGCAACAATAGAGATATGTGAATAATTGTCCAAGATGTTAAAAACCCTCTTTTATTACAAGGTCACTGCTGTTCTTGCTTCAATGCACAGGCACGGTTACCTTTCAAGATGGCGCATGGAACTGCGCAGGGGACTAATCCTCGTTCTCTTTAGATTCCCAGTAACTGTGATTCTCTCTTTACACACACTGTTTAAATTATTTGTCAGGAGCTCCTTGTACTGAAGAAATGTTCAAACTCCTGACGTGCTGGAAGAGAAACACTTATTCTGACGCAAAGTGTTCAGATGAAATTGGAACTTTTATGAAATGTGCACAACGACATGTAAGTCTCCTAATTATTTTTGTTATGTAATTCAAGTATTCTAAAATGACATGGCTTTGAATGATACCCTCCCTCCCCCCCCCCCCCCCCCCCCCAAAAAAAGCCACCCAAAACAGCTTGCTGCTGGTGTGGGGAGTAGCTAAGGAGGCAGCCATTTTATAGTTAGGAAGCAGCCATTTAACTATAATTATTACTAGAAGCTTGCCCTACTCTTTGCAACAAAGAAAACACTTTGCATCCATAATGGTGTAAATGCAAGCAACATACATGTAACTTGAGGATCTTGAAATACAACTAACACAACTAACTGTTGTTGACTTGTAGAATTTTGTTTGACCACTTTGCCATAGTCTCTGTAAGCAGACTGTGCAGAATGGGGCTCCCCACTGACCCTCCTTCTACCCTAATGCCTGCATAGACTACCACACTTATCACAACTCACTGGTATTTCTCAGATAAAGGCTAGTGGTGAAAAGAGGCTTTGCACCTTCATGTTACTGCAGACATGTTAGATGGCAATACAATTGTTTTACATGAAAAAGAACTCAATTTCCGAGAGCAAAAGGGTTTTATTGTTCTGCCATGTAACCCAAGTAGTGCAAGCTGTATTTTGTGTGCTGGCACATGATGGTGCAAAGCCTCTATATTGGGTGATATTTTGAAGTTGTACTGACTTTGTTTTTTTTTCCAAGATGGATATGAAAGCAAACCAAACAACATCTGATGCTTGGACGTCAACTGACGTTAACAAAGTGTTGAAGCAGTTTACAGAACTAAAGGGACCAAGAGACCACTGAGGATAAAAAAGAAAACTTTAAAGGCAGGACACTGTACTACTGTTGAAATTCCACTGTGTCTATATATTACCACTCTTTTCACTACTACGCACTGATCAAGACAACAATTGCAACACATTGCCCGATCTCCCTGTCGTGACTGTTGTCTCAATCAGCATGTAGCAATGAAGAGTGGTAATTACTATTGTACAAAACATAAAGTAATGCAGAAAGTTGTTTATAAAGACGCAGACAGTCAAACTTTACTTCTGCAGCATTGCACATGGCATTACAAAAAGACAACCTGTTATTATCACTGACAATCTCATGATGAGCTTGCCTCGGCAAATGAACTGAGGGAGTTATTTTGGTTGTACCACTGTCTAGGATTTGGTTACTACATGTAAGTTTTATATTTCAATAGTTTTGTGCCTGCTAGACAGTGTGACATGGGGATGTGACAATGGCGAATAGACAAATCAGGGGGAAACCTTACAGATATGATGATGATTTCAGGATGACAATATGTGGCAAACAAATAGATTTCCCATAACAAAGTTTATTAAATTTAATGAAATCTAATTTTAGTCTTCTCCAAAAATTATTAATAATATTGACTTTTAGGCTTCCTTTGTTTTTTAATTTTGTTCTCGTAAGTTCATTTTCATTTTTTATAAGCAATAATAAATAGTCAAGCTATCGAATTTGTTTAGTAAACCTTCACAGCATTATTGTGTAATTCCAGATAATATTTATACCCCCACCTTGGAGGAAAATCTGTAAAAAGGCCCCTCTACTCCCCAGGAACTTCCCATTCTCTTCCATTTAAACTTTTTTTCGGTTCTATTTTAATTTCTAAGGCCCTGGCTAAACAAGGAAACATGTTTACCGTGCGTATGTTTTGCAATGTTTCCCAGTTTCCCAGTTTAGCCACATGTGAAACATTGCAGCGCATGCAAAAAAATTTTCTTTCAAGATGCAAAAAATGTTTTAGCTGTGTGGCAGAAACATTTCATGCTTCCAAGACACATGGAAACAATGTTTGCCGATGTTTCCTGACAGTTTTGCCACCTTTGGAAACATTAAGGAGACGTTTCTGGAAACATGTTTCGTTGTTTAGACAGGTACTTTTTGAATAGAGCCTGCCAGCAGGACCCACTTAATTTCATGTCCCTTGCTATCAAATAGACTACTTCAACAAAACAGTGGCCATCTTGCCAGGGGGCAAAACAATTCAAAGATGATTTATAATACATAGAGTTTTGCATGTTTTCTTTTATGGGTAAAGGTGTCCGATGTGGCGTCTTCATTCATCTTATGTCGTATTTTTTGTGTGGTGAGCTGTTAATATCAAAGGATGTCATTGCTGCAACAAAGCTTTAATTACCCCCTGGATGCCCCATAATGCTTTGCAATCCAAGATGGCCACCATATCGTTAAAGTGGTCCATTGTTTCAAATCCTAAAAATTTGAGAATCTTTTCTCTAGTAAGAAAAATACAATACATTACAACCTCAGGAGCTCCTTGATTCTCTCTCACTGCAGTTACCACTACCCAAAATGGAGTTTTTGTTTAAAAAATATTATATATTAGTAATTATTATAGAGTTAGGATAGTATATGTATGCTGATTGGTCGAAAACTATGCTTTATTAGTGAACAGAACACAGTGCTGATAATATCCGCGAGCACGAAGTGCTGCTACTGTAGATCTTGTGACCATCTTTTTTTCATAAATTAATGCAATACCAAAATAAGATTAATCACTATAAATATAACAAATAAAACAGCCTTGTCCATGCTCCATTCAGTAATAAATCACTTAGGAAGAGAAATAAGCACTCAAGAAGTGTGAGAAGCACTTGACTGCCTAAGGCTCATGTTTTTCCTTACGCTTCTTTCATGCTTGCGTCACTTGCAGCGTGCTTTATTACTGTTCAAATGGAACACAGAAAAAGGTGTTTTATTTGTTAAATATGAATATATTTTTCTAGATATACTGTAATTAACTATTGTTACCTTGTCAGAAAATATCCATACCTTCCCCCATGGAGGGAACATGTTGGACCCTCCATCCCAATAATATCTACATAAAAAATATAATTGATTATTATTGCTGTAAATTATTTATGGTAAAAAAATTATGTATATTTTCTTGCTGTGGCATAATCAAAACAACTTAAACTAGTTTAGAAGAAGAAAATTCTGATGTTATTAAAATAGTTTATCACATCTAAGCTAAAATTTAGAGTTTGAATCATCTAACTACTGTCCGCCATTTATCTGCATGGCTCTTACGAGCCCTGGATGTTTGATATCCATGACGTCAGTTTCTCAAGGATTTGTTTTTGGCATCTATTTAGCTCTATTGAGGAAAATGGCCCAATATTATTAAATTTAAACAGCTCTTCTGACTTAAAAACTATTTTGAAAGTGTGTAAATTCTGCTAGATAAGCTAAGTATAGAGTGCCATACTATATATTCACAAAAAACTTTGTAAGACATTTGCACAAAATATAATAAGTTCAGTATACCTCAGTAGACCGTAGATTACAGTGCGTAAACTCGGCTAGATAAGCTTAGAAGGATCGGTATAGAGTGACATGCCATATATCCACAAAAACTTTGCAAAACATTTGCACAAAATATAGTTGGTTCAGTATACCTCAGTAGACCGTAGTTAATTGATAACTGTAAGTTCATTACTTTTAAGTAATTAAAATCAAGAACGATTTAATACTATGGCTCAGCTGGTATGATTCACTTCATTTTGGTCCATTTTCGGCATCATGCATCTCTGTAAGAATCTTGTCAAATGCCTTGGTGACGTAATCAGCATCTTCATGTGAGAAACACATTGGTGGCTTGATCTTGAGAACATTTTCATGGGGGCCATCAGCACTGACAAAAACAAACTCATCCTTGGCCCTAAATAGTAAATTATAAAATAACTGTTCTAAGTCTCGCATTCTGATTGGTTGGGAGCTCATGCTTCATGAGAGCACACAGCACGCTTGTATACTTTCAGTTTCGTCATTCTTGCAATTTGCATTTTATGAAAGAAATAAAAAACTTGCTTGCTGTGCTGGGTGGAGTTATAAAACACTTGGGGATTGGTGGATCACTCGAGAAGTGTCGAGAAGTGTCGAGAAGCACTCAGCTACGCGTCATGCTTCTCCTAACACTTCTCTCTTGTTCTGCCAACCCCGGTTGCTTTATAACTGCACACAGCACATGCACATGTTTTCTATTTCTTCAATAGATTGTGGTGTGAATATCATAAACATGTTGCTGCATGATTTTAGATGGGAGTGGTTGCCCAAATCTCCTGAGCCACAGGCTTATGTATAAATGTATGTTATATATGTAAATCTATGCTCGAATGTGTGCCCTTTATCCCCTCATACTATAAGTGCTCCTCCTTATGGGTATTTAAAGCTACACAGATTAGAGAGAAGTCAAAACAAATGGTGGAGATTCTGAGGATGGGAACTGTGGACCTCTAGCTCTGAAGGCTGTGCACTAACCAACTTAGCTACCCCTACCTGTAAACCATATGCATTGCTTCGGCAGTAGCTGGTTCTAAAGTATCTCGATCTTTTACTAACTCCACACCAATCATTAGTCCCATACCCCTGATAAAAAGAAAACAAATTCATTAAAGCACGTGCATCGCAACACTTGTACATAGTATTAAATTATTACTAATGAATTAATGGCTTACCTCACATCACCAATCAACTCGTGTTTCTGCTGCAGAGCTCTCAACTTTTCAAGGAAAGCTTCCCCAACCTCTATAGCATTTTGTACAAGGTTGTCCTCCTTGAGGCTGTCTAACACTGCATTACCGACAGCACAGGACACAGGGTTACCACCAAACTAAACAATAAATAACATGAAAGTTTCAGCCTCTACAGACTAATCTCCAATAATATTATAATTGCAAACCATTTGATAGACATTTGATAAGGCATCAAGGAACCTTAGTGTAGTGCACTTTGCTTTTTTTGGGGGGGGGGGGGGTCGTTTATTTGTTTGTTTTGTTTTGGCTCTCAATTAGATCAGCCCAGAGGTTGTTTCAGGGTTTGATCAGTGAGTAAGCCATGCCCTGACTTAGATCAGCCCAGAGGTTGTTTCAGGGTTCAATCTGCGAGTTAGCCGTGCCCTGAATTTGATCAGCCCAGAGGTTGTTTCAGGGTTAAATCTGCGAGTTAGCTATGCCCTGACTTAGATCAGCCCAGAGGTTGTTTCAGGGATCAATCTGTGAGTTAGCCATGCCCTGACTTAGATCAGCCCAGAGGTTGTTTCAGAGGGTTCAATCTAAATTAGACTAGACCAATGGGCATCAAATATATTGTTCTACTTACTGTGTTAAAGTAGGACATTCCAGTAGCTGCGAATGATTCTGAGATCTCAGGAGTCGTGATAACAACAGCCAGTGGATGCCCATTGCCGATTGGTTTACCAAGGGTGACTATATCAGGCGTTGCATCTTGCAAAGGAAGAATGATTTTATCAATAAGCGTAACGAAATGCTCAAAATTAATATTTCATAGGGAATAGGAAAATCTTGACTCAAGAAGCTCATTGCTGTGAAAGATCTAAAAAAATTCCATCTAAAGATTAAAAAATAAGAACTTCCATCCACTTATCCAGGCATCTATCCATTTAATTATCATGTAATTAAATTAAAATACCTTGACTTTCAAATGCCCAGAAGTGTTTTCCAGTTCGACCAAATCCAACCTGGACTTCATCTGCAATGCATACTCCACCTGCCTCTCTAACATACCTTAGTAGAAGAAAATGAGGAAATTATGTTCCTTTATTACATTACTGGCCACTGTCATTTGGTATGTAAGACCCTCGTACAGTATATTAATAATGTTGAAATGATATTGGGCAAAAAAATTTCATTAAGTTAGGCCTAGGGCAAACGTCGAACTTTCCATGCACCGAACTTAATTACATCAAAGAATGCCGCCTCATTACCACCTGATATCCATTGTTTTTAATGAGTTCGGTGCATGGAAAGCTTGACGTTTGCCCTAGGCCTTACAGTTTGTCATAAATCCGATTGGTTATGAGTCAGAGCACTCATTGATTTCACACTTTCTATTTCCTCCTTTATATCCAGAATAATTGTGTTGTTCCAGAAATTATCCATACCCACCCCACAGAGGAATTTGGAATTTCCAGTGTGGGGGGTAGGGGGGTCAGAGAAAAAACAAGAATTACAGAGACTGTATGGAAGAAATTTGGAATTTCCAGGTAGGGGGGTGTCTTAAAAAAATCCTCCACGAGGGGGGTATGGATAATTTTTGGAACTACACATTACAGCTATCCAAATAAGCGCAGCATACAGATGCCATCATTAAAATGAAGACAAAGGACAAAACTCAGACAAACTGTTATTTTACATATCATATATTACTCACTTAAAGGCATTCTTCATGAAGCCTTCTGGATATATTATCTGCCCTCCACACCCCTGCATTGACTCACATATAAAAGCTGCAATCTAAAATACAAAGGGCAAACTATGTCAAGTAAATGAACAGCATATTAAGATGTCACAAGACCTATGATCAGTAGTTCTTTGCCTTATCTCTGATATGGTTCCTTTGCTGATTTATTTATATATCTTAATGTGAACTAATCAAAACAGAATAAGCCTCAAGCGAGATGACGTTTTACCCCCGTCTCTAGACAATAATCCTTTTCACATTGCTTTTGTTCTTTAATTATAACTATTGTTCCTGTATTCTCTAAGGAATCAAAAATTTTAATATGAAAGAATTTATGAAACTATTATGGTATAGAGTTGGGGGTAAAACGTCATCTCACTTCAGGCTTATTAAGTACTCACTTTTCGACCATCATTTTCTGCATTGTTTATCAAGGTCTTGACTTCATTGGCATACAGTTCTCCAGTTTCTTTGCCATATCCCTTATATTTCCCCCGGTAGGGATCAGGACAAGGACAGACATGGACAAAGTCCTTCTTGCCCTCACCCCCTAGGGCATTAAATTTGTATGGGCTGACATCTATGAGTGCTGAAGTATGTCCATGGTATGCTCTAAATTAGAGCAGGAAAAAAAATTTAAAAATCAGGTGGTATATATTTTTGGAGCAAAGATAACTATTTTGGGGGCCATTCATTACTTAGAGATCAGGGGGAGGGGAGATTCAAATCTGTGTTAACGAATAATGCAGTGGGGTGCAAATTTATGCAGTATGTAGAAAATATGTTCTTCATGAAATGGGAACATACTAAGGATGTCTTGACTAATTCCGGTAGCTTGTATTTACCTGTCAACGACAATAGTGTCATGTCGCATAGTGTGTGTTCTTGCTAATCTTAAGGCAAGATCATTGGCTTCCGATCTGAAAAAACAAATTATTAGACATAAGAAGATATAACTAGCTAAAAACTAGTGTGAGCTGCGTCAGTGTTTCTAATGAAACAGTAATGATGATAAGGTAAATTATACACCGTGAACAGATGAAAAAACTTACTGACRTTTCGGAYGCTAGTCCTTCGTCGRAGTAARAGAGAAAGARGTGGTAGAAAGGAGTGTATATATGATAATATGACAATTTTTTGAGATTATTATTGACAATTATCTTAGCCAACAAGAAAAAGCATAGTCAGCAAAATAGAGGATATTACATGGGTGCGCGGAGATACGAATTTTTTCTTTGAGTGTTCAATTCGCTGCGCTCACTCCTGAGATATGGTATCTAAATTGAACACGAGAAGATAAAATTTGTATCTCCAAGTGGCCATGTAATGTTCTGTTTATTATATAGATATCGATGAAACTTAAATAAAACAAAAGCTCAAAAATTCACTGGTGAAAGATACCGTATCAAGTTTTCGACACTAGAGATTACCTGGTATTTCATCGATATCTATATAATAAATGTATATAACACATTCCCTTTTGGTCCAAGCCCATAGTTACAGTCAACGACAACATATTTTGAATTGACTGTTGTTAGTATAGCATGGCATTCCCATGGGAATAATAACTTTCATTTGTGCCTGTTTAAAGGTCATTCCAAAATGCTTGAATTCAATGTCACATTTGGGGAATAATCTCTTGTTTCATCCAACATGGCTGCCCCATGAGAAATGCCTACTCCTCCCCCAATAATGACTCTCACTTTATCTCTCTCTCAACTTGTTTGGTATCCCTGTGGTAAATCTACCCACAGGGAGACCACCACAGGTAAACATAAATTCTACTCCAGTATTATACTCACCCAGAACATACAAAATAACAAACACTAAGATGAGGTGGGAATTTGGAGATAAGCCGTTTAGTATAGTGTATAATGTTGTCATAGAGAAATCTATTGTTGGTATTCAAGATACACATCTGGTCATGCGCTGCTTTGATGACTCGTGGATTGCAATGCCCAACTGAAAAAAATGTTGTAGGCTTATATTTAAATTCACAACCCCAGAAATTTACATAAAGATTAGTAATACTCATGTATATACCCTCTTCAAAACCACCTGGCACAAAACTGTTCCTAGACCCTACCTCCTGTCCCTTGGAAATTTAGATTTCTTCCCATTGAGTACACTAGGTACTCAACATTTAATACTCACTCACCCCCTACCCCTTGGAAATTCTATCCCCCCCTCCCCCCTTGGTGAAGGCCCTCCTCAGACCCTCTCCACACCTTGGAAATTTTACTTCTCCATGGGAAAGTAATGAATATTTTATGGACCCACACCACCTGTTGGAAATTCCAATCTCCCTCCATAGGAAAGTATAGGTATTTTCTACTACACAATATACCCTCCTCAGACCCTCCCCACCACTTGGAATTTCCTTTCTTTTACATTATCATACCACAATTATTTCACCACTGTTTCCATTGCTACATGCTCAGTGAGACAATATATATATGTAGAAAGACTATACTGTCAATCAAACGAATTGTTTTGGTACCTTTACATACTTTGATTGACGGCAGTGTATTGCCAGACTCCCCGGTCAAAACTATTGTTCAAATTGCATTGCAATGAAATCAGGGCAATAGTATGAGTATATATTTTCTCACCATGTGTTACATTATTCATACAGTCTATGCACTTGTTTCCTTTATCATCAAACAGATACTGTCCTCTGCCGTGGGTGATTTTTGGTGGGGACTTTGCAAAATGAACCTTACATGATTTCCTAAATGCAATAAAAAACTATTTATTGAAATATTATAGGATTCCGTGAAATATTAGTAATACTAACTTACACTATTTTATGCTAATTCTATAGTTTTCTTTTGTTTAACTAGCATCATTTTGAACAATTTAGTAATTAGTGTTTCACGGTTATAACGCAGTATTATGAAAAAAGTTTTATATATCAAAGTAACGTGAAAACCAAGGTTATCCTTGCCTGGAATTGTTCTGGACATAGGTCAAAAACCATACAACGAAGAAAACAAAATACAGTCAAAGAAAGCTGGTGGATCAAAGACGATATATATTGATAATGTAAGGAATCTATACTTCGAGGATAGATATTTAGCAGCATTTACCCAATGTGTTTTCTTCTAACTGCCATGATTTCGTCCGACGTTAGACCTTTGTCATCTCCATTGTTCATATGATTTTCTCCATGAGCCATTTTGCGTTTTTTTAAGTCATCGCTATTAGATAACCCTTCGAGAAGGTCTTCTGGCCGAGCACGCTTTGTCTCTGTCATCCCAAATTATTTAAAAACTAAGAATAAATAATATGTTTGGCTTAAAAACTCACTACAGGGACACAAGACCTTTCGAGCCAAAAGTTTTTTGTGATCGTCATGTGACATTTAAGTACGGAAGCTCTGGGGGGACTTCAGACTTCAGACTTCAGACTTCAGACTTCAGACTTCAGACTTCAGATTTAATAGTTTGTTTTATGGTCGTCCTGTGTTTCTGTGCTTGCTGTCAAGATGGCGTCAGAGATGGAACACGAGGTGAGATTTATTTATTTATTTATGCATAAAAGTAACAACTGTAAGGTTTCCAATTTTTTTCTATTTAAATTTAACTATTTAACGTTTATTTTGTAATTTTTGTAAGACTCCAACTTCAAACGGAACCAAATAGTCGGGCATAGTTTTACTAGGATCAAGGGTTCTACCGTGCAGGGTAGTCCGTTGTTTGTTGAACTTCCTCTAATAACGGGTCTTCATTTTTTTTTTTGATATGAACCTCAACGATGTAATCTTGGTACTAATAAACCTAAATGTAAAAGTTAAGGGAGGTCACTATGGTACAGATTATAGATTTGACATTATTGAGAAGCTGCACCACAGGTAACTCAACATGCATGATTAATCTAAAGTTATTTGCACATTTTCCCTTTATATCCTACTTCATTACTTGGTGCCTGTACTGGATGGATACTAGCATGCATACTTTAAATGTTGGTTTGGTATTAGATAATGAAAAAGCCACCTTTAGAGTAGCCATTAGAGAGACACCCATTAACCAGTCACTTTTAATAATTTCTAGCTATATCAGGTACTGGAAACAGCCAATTTGGAAAGGCTGAAGAACACATTTATTGAGAATAAAGTGAGTACCACATGTCATAATGTGCAATTTTGAAATTATGGTCACAAATAACAAAAATATACACAATCTTGTTGTGTTTCAAACCCCCCTCTCTTTGCTTAGAGATTTCCTCATTTCTGGCAAAATAATAATAATACTTTGTTCTCAAATGTAAAAAGGAAGAACTTAGAAAACTATGATAATATTTTCCATCCTTTCTTCACACCTGACCACCTCCCCTAATTTCCTGAGATTTTTTGTTTGACCTTTTACATACATATATACATACACACTTTATTTTCTTTTCAGAAGCACTGAAAGAAAAAATACAATATGATAAAAAAGTTAAATATATAAAGTATAAATCTAAGATGATATATACTATATATACACCTGCCTCCAGGATTTTCTTTTAAGCAAATCTCTAAATGACTGATCAGTTTCTTAATGACATCATCAATTTATATTATACCAGGTGCACAGTGTTAAGGCATTAAGGATGGTGACCGATCACCAGTTTGAGGCAATGGGTTTRGCTATCGGAGAGACAGCAATGCTGCGAGCCATGATATTGCCAAGAAATAATGATCCTCAAGTCAACTCTCCAATACAAGGTATGGACTAGAAATCATTAACTCATTAAAATGGAACAATATAACACTAGCTTAACAAAAAACATTAGCCTCAAGCTAGCCTTTATCTACAGGCTGCTACAGAGATTTGAAAAATAATTCCCCTTTTTGTTCATCCTAGACACATTATCTGACAAATGTAGTACATAACCTCACAAATCTTCTTTGCGAGATACAACATAGCTTATTGATATGGATATTATTAGATTATATTTAATTATCTATTTTGGATTTACCAGCTTTGTTATTAATTTTTAAATTTCCTATCTTATTGAATAAGGATTTTTAAAAACTACTGCCATTTTTCCTGGGGTGGCCAAAGATGATCAGAATATGTCATATTTGGCTATTCCCTCCCCATCCGCTACTCCTGTAGATAAAAACCTATGCCAAAATGCATGTACTACAATTCTCAAACACATTAATAATTCAGGAGTTTTTCATCCAATGACCATGGTCTATTCAGTCAGGTAGATGCATCTTGTTGATCGATACCCCAATGAAACACTGTAGGAAGATCACTAATGATATGGGGRRAAAAACATCTAGATTCATCCACCTGACTTAACGGGACTATGAAACACGGTTCGAGATCACTAGTGTAGTCTAAATCTACATTGTGGTTGGAATTATCAAAAGAGTTAGAACCCCCCYGTTACCTCTTTAATTTCTCTCCCCTTTGCTCTGTTTGTCTGTCAAACTAACTACATACCTAATTTACATTTCCCCCCTAATTTTTGTTTTGTTCAAATATTACATTCCAGCCAATCCAAATCAACCAACTGTGTAAATCAGTAGCGTAGCTAGGGAGGGGGCAGGGGGGAGGGAGGGGGGGG